CATTTTTTTCTTATATATATCACTTGGGGACCTTTTTTTTTGTTCCTAAATAAATGAATAAAGATCAATCAGGCAGTATGTTGCTTATAACTCTAAACTTCTCTGTGCTTTTTCTTGCTGCAAAACAGTTGCAAACACTGTGGGCTTCACTGAAGTCAAACTTTCAGCTTCGTTCGTTGGGCAGAGAGCTCGTCAGCCTCCACGTCACCCAAAAACCACCCCAGAGGGCACAATCGCTTCCCCCCCCTCTCTGTGGAGCCGGGGCAGCCGGGGATGCGGACAGGAATGTAAAATATCCATCAGACTATGTACACAAATCTGTAAATTGTTCAAAATATCATGCAAATAAATACCAGTAAGGTTAAAAGAAAAACTACAACACTGACCTCAACTGTAGTAATATATTGTACTGTACTGGCTATAAAGAGTTCCACAAAACGTCTTTCCTCGACAGAAAACCGCCTGAAGTTAATACTGCAGGTCCGCGGTCTGTCCGATGTCTCGAAAGCAGTGTTTGTGCTGAGGTCTTCGATCAGTGTTGAGCTTTAATTCGGCCTCTCCGGGTCCCCGCCATGCTCGGGTACAGCAGAGATGCACAACAGTAGGTTCACTGTACATAAACATTCACTCGTTTCAGTCAGTCCGAATTGAAAAGTACATGTTTCCCACAGGCGCCAAATAGAGAATATACAGTGTGCAGATGGGACGAAGTAGAAATCTATGAAAATGGACAGTGTCTGTGCTTTGATTCGAGGCTGAACCACAGTGTAGAGAGAAACGACACGTAGCAGAAGGGCAGCAGGGTTCCTTTGACGAACATGTGTCCACGAGAAGGCAGGAGGGGAGGCCAGCTGCTCCTTCAACAACCGTGCTCTGGTAAAAATGTTCCCTAAGTTCACGAAGAGCATCTTTTTTTTTTTTTTTCAGATTCCCCGACCGAGGAGTCCTTTCAGAGCAACCTGCAGGATCAGTGTCCACGTCTACGATCCAAATGCTCCTGCCATCCAAAAAGTGCAACAAGGCACTGCAGGGCGGAACACCAGGCAGACGGAGAAAAACAGCATCTTACAAATATTTTGTCAAAAAAGCTTTTTAAAAATATCCCCTTGTAACTCAACTCTGCGACCGGATCAACGGAGAACACAAAAACACACGAGTGAATGAATCACTGTGGGAAGTAGCTTCCTGGATTTATCATGCAGACACCGACCTCCCGTCTGTCTTCACCAGAGGTCGACTCTTTGCTGAAAAATGTGCTTTTTCTTTTGTTACTTGGGGAAGTTTGACCTTTTACTGTGCAGCATGTTTGACACTAGAAAGCTTAAATCTGCGTTTTTGGCGACACTGAAACTAGTTTAGAAGCAAATCAAGATAAAATAAGGAGCTCGGACAAGAATTTAAAACTAAAAATAACGGCATATTTATAGATTCTGGATTTTTCTATGAGCAATGAAGAAATTTTAAAGAACTTTTAACTAAGTAAATGAACTTTTCTAGTGGAAAAACTATATCAAACACAAGTTGTTAATCCAAACACAGTATTTCAAACATCTTAAAGTGTCTAAAGGAGGCAGAGACATGACATCTAACACTGTAAACACAATAAGTGTGTTTAGAAATTGGGATTCTGGTGATAACTTTGGAAAAACCTACTCACCTTTGGAACTAAATATATTAAATAACAACAAAGATTTACACATAAAATATAATCTATGCAGAGCGGAAACCATTGAGCAATCGACAGTAAATGAATTTGCAGCTCTTTTGACAGTCAAACAATAATCTGAGTAATGTTTAAGCTGTTTCAGCGTGAATATGTCTCTAATTTATTTGTCCTTAATTATTAATAATACTTATCATGAATTTTAGATTTTAGCCTGGACTCTGAGAGACTGAGATGGGTTGTTTTTTGTTGTTTTGATTATTATTATCATTATTATTATGACAATTTAAGAACAAGATGACAAAACTAATTATTGAAGTTAAAATAAAATCGTTGCTGCCCCAATGAACGTCATTATTTTGTGCTATGGCGTTAACATTAAATCTGTCTTGAAAGTAAACCATTCAGAAGAAAATCAGTTTTCAACTGAATCAAATCAGCTGTACGAACTAAGCAGCCGTTCAGGTGCATCGCTTCTGTTCAGATTTCTCCGCCGCAGTGTCGCACGCATGATAAATCGTAAATGTTCTGCCACAGTGACTCATCACCGTCAGTGAGACATCAGGGATCAAAAAGCATCACATATCGATAACATATTGATAACACCGAAAGCTGATCAGAAGCTACATTCCCCATACAGAAGCATACATAAGTGCATAACTTGAGATTTGACAAATAGTGGCAATACAAGATACAAAAGAAAGGACAAAGAGCTTCCCGAACAACAGATGTTTAAAAACATATTGGCCACACAGCGACTTCTGCACGTTTTGTGCTATTAGACATCGATAACACTGCAGGTAAATTATTTCTCTTTTTTTTAATCATAAATCGAATATTACTGCTAGAATAAAGTACCCAATGATCATAGCATTATTGCACTAAACACTGTGCAGTGTTACTAAATACCGTAGCCCACCGAGGATGCACTACCACTTTTACAAAACCTACGTAATAATGTTGGATGATTTTGGTCGTCTGTTGTTTGATTTTACATCCTTGGACAACATCTTACTCGACTGGAAGCACTTCAAGATCACACCAAGCATCTGTGGAAGCATTTCAAACCTCGACTGTAACAATGAAACCACACAGATGTTTCTTCACTGATATGTGTCATGAAAAGTCAGCGGTGCTTTTCATCATATTGGCGTCTCTAGTCTCATAAGTGCTCTGTAAAAAGTTATTTTAAGGGCACAAAAAAAATGAACTTTTTGTCTAAGTTCTGTTTGGAATCTGGTTGGGTTTAAGGACGTATAAGAGACAGAGCATGAGAGAGCAGAGGGAATCATTCAGGGTCCTGTCATGTATGATACACTTTGTAGTACTAAAACTGTCTTGGCAAAAGTCAAAGGTGGGTTGAAAGACACTGAAGTGAAAGTGAGGTTAAGGCCCGGATCTACCATCATGTAAAAACAGTTGCAGGTGCAGGAGCTCCGGTGTGCGAAGACGCTCCGCTAGGACCCGGCATGCAAACGAAAACAGGCGCAGCAGGTTTATTTTAAGCCAACAAAAGCAAAGTTGCATCTGAGCAAACTTGTGGTGGGAGTCTGAAGCTCATCCAGCAGCAGATTCTGTCTGTTTTTGTTTACAGTTTCAAGGCTGTGCATGATTTAGAACTGTCCTCTGTGTGAATGTCTTGGACGACGTTGGTGTTGAAAATCCATATAAATACTGAATACTAAGAGTTGTTCAATAACGTGATGATGAAAGATCTAAAAACATCTTCTACAAACTTGCTGCTGTTGTCCGATCACTGAGCTCAACTGATTTAAAGCCGGTGGATGCAGTGATGAGAAGTAACTCCTGCCCCCTAATTACCTGAAAGCCGCTGAGGCTACATCCATGTCAATGTGTTTCTATTTTAAAATGCATAACTTCTGCTACGCTCACGCCTACAAGCCACACAACCAGGTGTTCTCTAAAAAGAAAACTTTTGGAAACACTTGTGATCGTTTTAGTTTGAAAACTCAGATTGCATTTTAGGCCCAAACAAAGCCTTTTGGAAACTATGACCCAGACACCTGCTGTCGTTTCCTGATTGGGACTAATCGGTCATTGTTTCCTGGTTTATTAAGCTGCTGTCGTGTGACATTAGTCTTTACAAGCAGCGGTTAATTCAGCATGGATGCTAACTGAGGCTTGTCGCTGTTGTGCAGTTAAAAGAAACTATTGGGCCTTACTTTTTGTGAATGAAGCAACCAACCCTCTGTTTCTTGCTTCCACAGGCAACTCCATTTTTAACCATCATGTGATATGCATGTTTCAGTACAGAGATAATCCCAAAGTGATGCTAAAACACCAGACGGAGGTTGTAAAATGTATGACTGTGGATGCATATTAAAGGTACCCTGTGGAGTTTTCGACCACTAGAAGCACTATAGAGCCACGTTTTGAATCGTTCCCATAACCAAGCACACGGCTGGCACGACACACAGGTGAAGAACACAGGTGTAAACTCGAAGAAGATCTGCTCTGCACACGGTTTTATGAGGACGGAAATGAAATCAACATGTGCTTTGGTTGCAAAACACTGATTGTCACCAGAAACTCTGCAGCAGAAAACCCCACAGGGCAACTCTCGTACTTCGTCACTGATCCCGTTGCTTCCTATTTTTAAGATTTTACTTAGACAATGTGTAGAAAATGCCTGAACGCTTATTCATTTACAGCTGAGGAACAGAACTGAAACAGAACTGTAGAATAGTTTGACTATGTGCAGTCCAACAGAGCCAGACGTGGCTCCGTCTTGACAAACTACATCACTGGACTGGTTGCATCAGTTTTGTTAATTTGATGATATGATGCACAATTTAGTTCTGCTGTCAAATTATCAGTTTGTTTTTGGTAACATTTCAAATGCAGGACTTTTACTACATTTCTACAAAGCAGTATTGCAGCTTCACCTTCAGAAGATCCGACTACCTCCTTCGCTGCTGTGTACTTAAAGCAAATAAACCCAAACGCGTTGTTTCGATCTTTTAGAATTTCCCCACCAGCGGTCCGACTGTGACTGACGTCTGTTCCAGCTGGGCGGTTGCTCATTGGCCCGTTTAAAAGTACATTTCGGCTGCTTCCCTGACTTGACTGATGATGTTGCTGAGCCCGTGTGCAGAAACAAAAACCCAAACATGCTTGTCCTAGTTAAAGTGGCATGCACACTCAACACATTCCCTTCCTACATTTTGCACTCAAGCCCTGAAACACCACGAATGCATAAGCAATAAGGCGAAATAAAAAAAAAAGAAAAGCACTAAGAGCTGATCCAGGGTTTTCTTTCCGAGCACAATGCACTGTGAGCTGCTTGTAGATCAAAAAATGTTGCAGTTGCTGTTTGATCTGACCTTCAGTAGATCCGAGCCTAAACCCAAAGAGATGAAAAATGTCAGAGCGTCTGTAAGAGATGAAAGAGAGGCAGAAGGAGCTGAATGAAGAGAAGGACTCCTATAGAGGACTGCAGAGAATGACCCCGTCCACACTCTGACGTGTTTTCCTGCAAAGAGAGTTAACAGTAAATCCTCCTTCTCCAGGGCAAAAGGCACGTATGTGTTTGGACTTCATGCATAAAACACGTGTCCTAATCCTGAACGTGCAAATGAGACATTTTGAGCACATTTTTTTTTGCAAGCGTGTGAAATCCTATTTTACAGAGAAATCGTGACTCAAAGTAATTAAGCCTGACAAAAAATCCACCGTGAACATTTCAGCTGTGGCGATCACACACCTGTTGGTCATGCAGCAGTGTGGGTGTGTTTGCTTTAGGTTTCCTACCAAGCTCATGTTGTGGTGCATTAAAACACTTAAGGCAGATCAACCTTCTATGGTTTTTACTCATTTCTTTATCATACTGCATTGGTGTATTGTTCTGCTGCAGTCTGCCCGTGTGCTGTAGAATAAACCTGCGTCTTCTTCTTTGGCGCTGAAGCTGCTGATCTGGCTTCTGTCTTTTGTTCCACTCTCATGTGATTTATCACAACACTACACGGGGCTTTTGTTCTTATTTCGCAACTGATAGGGCTAAAGATACAGGAAAGAATCACAGAGTTGTGATTTTAAAAAGTGCTCAAAAAGAATGAGTAGACACACAAAAAAAGACTTTGCTGTAACAAGAACGTCTACGTGGCTGCTTCATCTCCAATCCGGTTACTATTAGTAATAAATAGAGAGGTCAAGAAACACTGTGAAAGTCAACTTTTCCTTCAAATTATGAAGCTGCTGTGAGTTACTCTGCCCTTCACCAGCCATCTAAGTAGGTCGGTAGCTCAGTCCTGCAACAAATATGCATTTTATTCAGTACCTTGACATTTTGCAGCTACATCGCCCACGCAGGCATAATTATTAAAGGTCCCCTATTGTGCTCCTTCTCAGTTAATGTGACTTTCAGTTTCTCAGCCCAAAACACTGCAAATATGGTTCATTTGACCACGACTGTGTAACGTCCTGGTTGTAGGCTGGTTCTAAACAGGCTGTTTTACTCTGAAAATCAACGAGCTGTTGCTGTTCCTGCCTCCTTCAGGAAGAACTCGCTGTCTGAGCTGGATGACTGTCGGTTAGTCAGGTGTCATGTGGGTCCAATCCTCACTGGGAGGCTAGTTGTGGGGGAGCTTGAGGAAGGGCAGAAGATCTAAAAAATCTACTTTCTATTTTACCCCTTCAAGTTAATAACAACCGCAAAATACAATAAAAGTACAGTCGTGACTCGATAATCCGACACTAAATGTAAAACCTTCTTTTATGTCGGATAGCAAGGCTGTCGGATTGTCAAGATGGAGGTCAGGATACAAGGAGGGCTTGATGCTGGAAGGCTCATTTATTGTTAATATTTATTGCTTATAGTTGTTATAATAACTAATGTATTGTTAGAACATCGCTGGATTTCACACCTAACTGACCGGTGCATTGTGCACGTTCCGACCACTTCCACCCCGGGGCAGCGCTCCGACAGGGTGGAAGTGTCCAGAACACACAGGCAGTACTTGGCTGCTGATGCTAGTTTAGTTAGCGCTCACACTTCTGTTTCCACCATCAGTGGCTGTGGGGGAGTGGCAGATACG